ACACACACACAAAGTTAGACCATTACCTTATATTGCATATAAAAACTAACACAAAATGGATCAAAGACATACATAAAACTATAGAACTCTTACAATAAAACATAGGGGGAAAGCCTCATGACATTGGACTTCACAATAATTTCTTGGATATGACACTAAAAGCACAAGCAATAGGAGAAAAATTAGATAAACTGGACTTCACCAAAATTAAAAACTTAAGTGCTTCAAAAGACAAGGTGAAAAATCAACACGTAGAATGGGAGGAAATATCTGTAAGTCATATATCTGATAAGGCATTACTATCCAGAATATATAAGGAATGCTTATAATTCAACAACAACAAAAGAACCAAGCAACCAAATTAAAATTTAAAAGTCCTAGCAAAGGACTTGAATAGGTACTTCTCCAAATAGGATATACAAATGGGCAATAAACATATAAAAAGATCCTCAACATCACTAATCATTAGGAAAATGCAAATCAAAACCACAATAAAATGCTATTTCACACCCATTAGGATAGCTGTTATCAAAAAAGGAATTTCAGAAAATAATGTGTTAGCAAGAATGTGAAGAAATTGGAACTCTTGTACAATACTGCTAGGAATTTAAAATGGTACATTCACTACAGAACACTGTGACAGATTCTTAAAAAATTAAGTATAGAGTTACCATATGATACAGCAATTCTGCTTCTGGGTCTGCACCACAAAGAACTGAAAAAGGATTCAAACAGGTGTTTGTACACTCATATTCATAGCAGCATTGTTCACAATAGCCAAATCGTGGAAGTACAGAGGAGTCCATTGATGGCTGAATGGATAAACAAAATACGGTATATACATTCAAGAGAATATTATTCAGTTTTTAAAAGGAAGGAAATTCTGACACATGATACATGTAAGCTTTAAGACATTCTGATAAGTGAATAAGTCAGTCACAAAAGGACAAATATTACACGATTCCACTCATATATAAGATGCAGAGGCAGAAGGACATGGAAAGAGAGGTATGCCATGTTGGTATTTACGGATATAAAATTTCAATTGGGGAAAATGAAAAAATTCTAGAGATGGATGGTGGTGATGGTCGCACAATAATGTGAATGTACTTAAGTATAGGAATGTACACTTAAAAATTGTTAAGATGGTAAATGTTATATATATTTAACCAAAGTTTTTAAAGTGGGAAAAAGTCAATTTAGAAATCATTTGCGTTCAATTTGGAAACTCAGTGATTTACTATTCCAGGTTTACTTCCATGTGAAGAATGACTGACAGATTGTTCTTTTACTTAACTGGTAATTTCTTCATTCATTAAATATACAAAAAATGAAATGTTCTTTTTCTTTTGTTTTAGGGAGACTGAAGATTGTACCCCAGATACAAATACTCAAATTCTGGAAGGTTGGATTCATTATTTTTCTTGATTTAAAGTAGAAAGTATTCAAGAGGACACTAGTGCTTTGATTAGTTTTTTTAGTTTTCAAACCTGAAGTTGATCTTTGTTTTCCCTATGAGCTTATCTACTTTTGGAAATGATCCAGTACTACATCACGCAGGTGTTGAAATAAGCGAACTAGTTTGCCTTATTAATGACTTTGTTAAAAAATATGGTGGGAATAATATGAATTTGTATTTATCATGCTCCTATAAGAAATATCCACAAACTCAGGATGTGTTATATGACAGTTTCTAGCTGAACCAGAACCCATGATACTAGGATTTAAAATTTTCTTTGAGAGGTTATCCTTCCTTTGTGCTTAACCCTATCAAAGTGCACCCAAAAAAGGCTTATGGGCTAAATTTATTCGCTCACATTAAAATCTGGTTAGTATGGACCTCATTTTTTTAAAAAATCCATAATAGTAATAATGACTGCTTAGAACATTTGTGTGGGGATTGCTTGGTTCTCTACTGTTGAAACCTCAAATGATTAATATGGTTCTGACAATGATAGCATCTCCAAGAAGCAGAGTGTCATTTTTACTATAAAGTGGCCTTGAAATTTGAACCACAGGTTTACCCTGGGTATTTCAAACATAGCACTCACTCAAGGAGTTACAAGAAACATATTCTCTCAACTTGGAAGTAGAAATCATTTTTATTAGGATGATTCATAGAATAACAGTAAATATGCCAGAATTCTATGAACACATCATAACCAGAAGGTGTCAAAATAATCACTGATATGATTCCTGTGTAATGGGCTCATAGGCTGTTAAGAGTCAGAAACCACTTAATATAACTCCCCTCATTGTTTGGATGAGGAAACTGAAGCTTAGGGTGAGGAAGTGACTTGTCCAGGGTTACTCTGAGTCAGAGCCAGAGCCCAGTCTGAATCCCAAGTCTCCTGACCCTGAATTCAGTGTTTCGTTTTTTCCCAAAATTGTTGTAATGATCAAGCTTAATTACTATATCTTTTAGAAATATTGCAGCTGTCCAATTCAATCATTTATTTATTCAGTCATTCAGAGATTTTCCTGAGCACATAAAATCCCATGTGTGAACAAGACAAAGACTTTGATCTCACAGAATTTTTATTTGTAACTTGAGGCACAGCATCAAAGGCAAGACATAAATAAGTTATTTCCAGATACAAGTCTTTCCCATCTCATCTGGGACAAAAGCCCAAAGAAACAGCAATGTCCTGCAGAACTCTACATCATCTGGACATCACCCCAAGCCCCTACAGCCTCTTTAACCTCCGTCTTTGTTTCTTTTTCTGGCTCACTCTGTTCTAGCCTCACTGACCCTGCTGTTCCTTAAACATTCCAGGCATTTAGCATCTTTGTACTTGCTGATCATCATGTAGTGCTCCTCTCCCTCTGTCGACATGGCTCACTCTTCACCTTCAGATCTGTGCTCGGTTTTCACCTTCTCAGTAGGTCTTCCTTGACCACCCTCTTTGAAATTTTAACCTTTCTCACGATGGCATTACATATTCCACTTCTTTGCTGTTTTTCTCCCTAGCAGTTATTACTGTATATTTTAATTGTTTTTTCACTGTATCCCTCTAGAATGTAAGATCTGTGAAGAGCGCAGCTGTATTCCCAAGAGCCTAAAATAGGCATATAGTAGGAGGAGGCAGTTAGTAAAATAGGAAAGACTATGGGAATAATTGAGGGCGATGCACAAGAATTCTATTTTGGTTATGTTAAGATCGAGGTACCCATTAGATATTTAAGTTGAGGTGTCACATAAGCAACAGGATATTTAAGTCTGAAGTTCAATGACAAGGTCAGGGTTAAACATACACATTCTTAATTTTTGTTTATAATTTTACATAGAATATAGAATAAAATCTCCAATAACTTAAATCTGAGTATCTTAGATCCTGAACCATCAGGAATTTTTCTGTGACTCCTCATCAAAACAAATTTCCTAGTGTATCCTGGAAAGCTGGTAGCCATGTAACCTAGAAACATAAAAACTGATGTTTGGAATGATAGCCTGGTATTAAACCCAAATGTCCTCCATCATTTAAAAGCAAAAGTCAGTTCAATTATGTGTGATACAGAGTCAGACATTAGAAATTTTACCAGGTTTGTCAGATAACTCAAATAATCAGCTCTTCCCACATGACTTAACTGCGGTTTTGCTGCTACTTTTTTTTTCCCCAGAACCTACAACTTGGGTTGATCTTGATGAGTGCGTGTCCATAAAATGCATAGTCTTTACGTATAAGATATCTCATGGTCCTCCTGTGAGACAGGCAGGAAGAGAGTCTCACTCACATTCTGTGTATGAGGAAATAGTCAGAGAATAGTTAGAGTCCATTTGCTAACACTTGCCCAGCTCTGAATAGTGAGGCGAAGGCTCAGACTCAGGTTTTCTGACTCCCTAGCGTGTTAGCTGCCTTCCTAGTGGTGGGTCTCTGAGAAGCTTATCTCACAGTATCATTTCTGCCTCCTTAAGATGACTTTCTTTTACTGGTGTATTTTAACCTCCTTTGAAATTCAGGCAACTTTTAGTTCTGCAGCAACTCCACCAGATTTCCTTTTGATATTGCCTCAAAATTTTCCTGATTCTCACCCAAAGAATTTCATAAGATTAGCCATCTTCCTCTTTGTTCCAATGATCTGCTTTTGATTAGCTGTGTGGAATCAAAGAGTGTTAGAGCTAGAAAGGCCCTCAGGAATCCCCTATAGGGTAGTGTCTCATTTGACATGTAAATAAATAGGCTCGTAGAGACTGAGTGGTCACACATAGACGTATGGCTGTTACGTTGCAGAATCTGCCTTTCTTACTCATCACACTTCATCTTTCAAATTTCCTACAAGAAGGGCTAAGGCGCCCCAGAATTCTAGGGCTCCCACCTATTTCAGGTTTGTTCACCCTGTCTAAATAATAATAATAATAATAATAATAATAATAATAATAATAATAATAATAATAATAATTTCTTCTATCTCCCTGAATTCTATGACTTTTTGATGTAAAATAGTATCAGGTTTGTGTCAACACTATATTCATCCCTCAGAAAAAATAATATTTTTTAATTTTTTTCTCCCCTCCACAGAACGTTCTCAGGAACAAAGGCCAGAGTATTCAAACAGCGTTAAGGTAAATAATTTTCAGTAGCCTATAATTAGTATACCTGCAGTCCAGCTGAATACAGCTGTTTTCAAGGTCAAATTAGGGACTGTGTGGTCCTGTTTGAGAGACATCGGGAAGCATTCCCAGTAGTTTCCTTATGCTCAGATCTCTCCTCCTGGCTGAGGCTTGCTCATGGTACCCAAGAAATCCATTAAGCAAAATTCTCATCTTAGGGTTAAGTCATCATTCCTTGTTTAAGTGTACAGGATAAGCCTCTGTTCCTCCCTAGCACCTAAATACAGTTTCATTCCTTAACTCTGTTACTGCAATCTCTGGAGAAAACCCTGCCTAGGGCAGGCAGACCCAAGTGAGGGACTTGGTGGAGGCATGGAGGAAATAGAAGCTTCAAAATGGAAGAGAGTGGCTTGCAAGAAATGAGTGCCGATTCCATGTCTCTGTATTCCTAAGGACTAACTGCCTAAAGGCAGTTTTCCAAAAGGCCAAGCGACACTCCAGTATAAACTCTGGAAGTGTCCTCTTTCCTATCCTTTTTAGAAACTTTCCAGTGAGCACTCAGGCTCCACATCCTCTTCTGTTGTTTGTTTGTGGCTAAATTTCTTACCATCTTTAAGCAATCCATCAATTATTCAGTCCCTTCTCATTACCAGAATAATTTTCAGAACCAAACCTTACTACTCATACTTAAGATATCTTCTGTCAGATCTCTAAAGATGCTGGGTTAGTTCTTTACTCAACCTAATCTTCATTTTTTAATATAAACATCTATTCGACAGCCTCAGCCTTTACTTTGGCCATATTGTCCAAGTAAAATCATATGGCACTAAAGGGGAAACAATAAATCTCTAGTCTGAGGACCTGATGACAGGCCATTGCTCGTGCCAAGATGAACTGCTAACTAATCTGGACCCTTTTGCCTTTTGTCCTTTTCCTCACTTGCTGCTTTTTCCATGGTAAAACTATGGTTAATGTTGTTACTCAGTCCAGTTCTGACTGAGGTGGAGTAAGCATTCCACCTGTATTGCTCACGGACTAAAACTAAAAACTTCGGACAACTACTGAAGATTCTGAAAAGTAAATAATAGCAGGAGTTTGCGGAAAGAAATTAAAATTCAGAACACAGTACCATTATGAGTTTCCTGGGTTCCCCCTACACACACACACACACACACACCCCCTCCTAGCTTAGACCGAGGGCAGTTCAAATCCTGTAATTACATAGAGGGAATGGACAAAATAAGAAAGCTCCAAGAGAAACCATTGCTCATTTGCAGAATTAGGAAGGAGCTCCTCTGGAATGGGAAGTAGGGAAGCCCACTTTTTACCTCATTTCCCCCCTCTTCCCCCTTCCTCAAGGTAAGTCTCAGCCATGAAGCTGCACAGTGGCAGCAGAGGCTGTGAGGCACTTAAAACGGAGAGAAAAGCCTTCTCTCTGACCAGAGGAATTAGGAGAAAGTCTCCAGTAACCTGAAGGACATTATGGGAAAACCTGCTACTTTCTCTCTTCTTTCTCTTGTTGATTTACCCTGGGCGTGGATGCAGTCATGGGATGTGTGAGACAGCGAGTAGGAAGGCTAGAGCCACAGCATTTTAGACATAGGACCAAAAAAGAGGACTGCTGGTGAGAGTCTAAAAGAAGTCAAAGAGAGGAGGGATATAAGAAAGGATTCCCTCCAAACTGTTTATAAAGTCTGTCCTGAGCTGTGCATGCATGGAACTGACCTGAAGTTCTACAGACAAAAAGCTATGACAGATTGAACTATATAGTCTTAATAGTGGTACACACATGGGATCCTAAAAAGTTACTGCCAAGACTTTGAAAACTGAATTTACATCGGAACTATTGCCATTGAAGGCAGGGTTGGATGTGTGGTCTGAACCTTGATGGGTTAATTACCTACTTAAAAAATATAACCCTCAGCACAGAGGATTTTAACAGTTCTTAGAATCATATAAATTCTTTAAAATGCTCAGGACATAATCCAGTATTACTCAACAATGTCTACAACTTTTATGGGAAAGGACAAGAGATGCCAACTCCAGCATAGCCAAGATTTTGAAATTTTCAGACAAAAACCTTAAAAAGCAGTGATTTTAACAAGGTTCCACAAAGTAACAACAAATACTCCTGAATCTAATGGAAAGCTAGCAGCTCTCAGCAGAACTTAAGTATATTTACTCATCTCAGATGCATGACAGCATCAGCTCCCTGAATACAGATTAGAGATCAACTCTAATTCTCACACATTAGAGTCATGTGGGTATTTTTTTTTAATACCAATATCTGCTCCATCCTAAGGAATTTCAATTCCTGTGGTGGTGTGGGGCCAAGGGATTCATATGTTTTAAAAAAATTTTTCCACAGATAACTCTATTGTGCAGCCAGTGATGAAAATAAGTTCTTCAGATAGTCTCTGCTCCGTTTTATTTTTCAGATGTCCTGTTCAAATGATGTCAATACACAGACGGCCTCAAGTCCTCTTAAAAGAACTATTGTAAAACTCATATTAATATCTGGTGGTTTCTGAGTAATCTGCATGCAGTACATTTTACATTGTGTGTGTTTAGCTTTACTTCACTGACTTTTTAACTTTCTTTTTAAATTACTAGCACTGCAGAAGGGCTACAATGAAGTCCAGCTGCCTGGCCCAGGCTGTTTTATGCCTCTCTGGGAAAACCGCTGCTTTTGCATTCAAAGATATAAAGGCCTACAGAGTAAAGCCAGTACCTGAGCCATGTTCCCTGCCCTCGGTCCACGTAGTCACTTTATTTCCCCAGAGTCCAAAATGGCTAAGATTTCCATAAAAGAAAATTGAAGTTACATAGTAAACATCCATTTTCCTTCTCTTACCTCTATTATCAGAAAGTAGCTTATAAATTATTATTCGCTCCAGTTCATCCAAGAGGGGCAGAGACAGAGCTGACACTTTTTGTCACTTAAGATGCCTGAATCTTTGGTCATCATTTGGTAACTAAGGCCCGTATTTACAATAAGAGTCAATCCTAGGCATGCTAATTGGCAAAAATTATGAGTCTCTGTCTCAGAGAATAATACTTTGGGACTGCAGTAGACAGGTATTACTCACGTGAAATGCTGTAATGACTGTACTACATCTCTTGAGGATTTCTAGGTGTCTCCAGTGTGTAGTATCCAACAAAGGACTGAGTCAATGCTTTGCTTTGTCTTGGCAGTTTATCAGCTTATTTGAAGGAAACAAGAATATTCTTGGCAATGCGAATCCCTCAAAAGAAGTCATTTCAGGTACAAATTATACTCTTTTTAACATTACTCCTGGAATGAGTGGTTATTCCCTGGCAGTATTGACACCTATTATTAATGAGATTGATCGAGATACACGTGTGTGTGTGTTCCATTTGCAGTTTGTTATGCAGTTCTTAAACCAAAGGAGTAATAGATAATGAAGTGACATTGATTAGGTATCAGCTATCTTCATTTTACTGAAGAGAGAACAAAGTAGGTTAACTCAAGGTCACCCCAAGCTAGTAAACTGCAGAGCTGGGATTCAGATTACAGATCTGCCTGATTTTAAAGCCTAAGCTCATTCAACAAGACCATAGTTCACCCACTCAGATGTTCACAGCAGCTAGGTAGGTAACATAAACAAGAGCTGTAGTTTGATCAGGGGTCTATGGTCCACTGGAGATGGCATGTCCCATCTGAAAAAGGGAGCTGCTACTCAGGTCCAATCACTGGCATGCTGGATTGTTACCATCCCCCCTTCTAATTCAGGTCTTAGCATTTTTCAAAAGAAACTGGAGATGGAAATTTTATGTGAAAATTCCTGACTTCAAGTTTTATCAAGTAATTCAGAATTCTGTGCGAAGCTGTATGGATCAAAACTTGTTCATGTCTTCTACACCATATTATACTCCCTCTGCAAGTCTTAGAGCCCTGACTTACAAGAGAAAATGGAGGTAAATAACTGTCTGAGGTTATGCAGTCAACAAATGGAGAGCTTTAAGGCTCAAAAACACGTCTTCTGACTTTGAGCCTACATTCTTTCTACCCTCTACATTGTGGTTCCACATAGTTGCTATTGCATCCCAGAATTAGGTCTTCACTGGGTAATGACCAAAGATAGCTTATAGTTTCGCTGTGAAAAGAACAATTAACTGATAAAGGGTTCACTATTCTCTCTGGTGATGATGCTATTAACCTGGGACACCAACCACCTACCAGTCATCTAATAGTGAACATGGATTTGGACAGTGTCTTCACTGTGTTTCCAGGAGCTGATCTGCACTAGAACCACTCAGGATACCTTTTAACAGTGAAGCTTCTTGGGCTCTCTCTAGACTGGCTAGTTGAGCATCTTGGAGAAATGGTGTCCAGGAATCTGCATTTTAAACAAGACTACCAGGTTTTCAGAACATTAACTCTTACCTCTCCACTGAGCATTTCAGAAGCCCTGTAACAATGCCTCAATCTTGTTAGTAAATTTTTTATTCTTGCTTTTTCAGAAAATACATCTTTCACTTTCATCCATGCTTTTGTCTTATCTGCTGCAGATTTTGGTTTTCCTTTTTAACTTTAGGTCATTTAAAAATTAGTAGCACAGTAAGAAACCTAAACATATTTTTTTTTGTTCTTTATGCTTCTGGCTTTCTTAGCTTTAAATTTGCTGTTGGCTATGTTAGCTTTAACCATAGAAAGTTACCTTGCTAGAAAAGACAAATCTAGGTAACTGCAAGAGGTACAGTCAGGACCTTTGGCCTGTACTGGAACTAATATGGGCTTTTACTATCTTGTGTGTTTTCATGTCCTGTCACTTCCTGTCATAAAGTTTTAGAAAAGTACATGTATGTTCACTTCTGTCTTTACACGTAAAATACTCATTTTGTTAAATTATAGTATGATATGCTCTAAGAGCCCATGCCCAGGAGAAGTGGTATAGAAAAAAAAAAAGACTCCAAATGGAAACTCTTATTATCTACACAGTCTCCTCTCATATGACCAAAAAATCACTTGAAGTTAGTCAGTTGAAAATTTATCCAAAGTGGTGAGAAGTTATAACAGTTTTAATTGCACTTCTGTTTCAATTGAGCACTCTGAAACAAGACACCCTCACTATATAGAGTTGACATTTACTTTCCCAAACGAGTTTAGCTCATCAAGCTTTTTCAGAATGTTTTCTGCTAGAAAAAGAAAGGTATCTTCGCACAGCGGGCTGGAGAAGCAGCAGAGCGCAGCAGGTATAGCGACGAGAGCCAGGAAGCAGGACTCTGTCTCAGCTTGGCCACTTTCTACTCCTGCGCCTTTAAGCAAGGGGTCTGACCTCACCAAGGTTCATATCCAGAAGTGGAGCCAGCCTTCTTCCTGCTTCCTTCTCAGGAGTGTTGGAAGGATCAAATCAAAAGAATCTTTGTGAATGTTTTTTTAATCCCACAAATTATTTTATAAATGTCAATTTCTGAATTCTAAATCATCAATGCTATATAGTGTGACTGCCTCAATTAGAATGTCTAATAAATGTCCATGTTACTTTTTGCTTTGTCTGCAGAAACTCCCAAGCCCAATATCTCCAAACAAGGATCCAAAATGCTGGCAAAGGTATCTTCAGCTCTGTCAAAGGTGTTTTCTCGAACCAACACCAATATTTCCAAATCTCCCTCACCACCTCACCAGGACGGACCCTGAAGCTTCCATACCTGATACAACTATGCTTACTTCCCTTAGAAAATAAAATATTTTTAAAGCATAACATAGTGTCCTGTAAGATGATCTTAATAATACTGAGCAAAAAGAATTAAGAGCAAGAGAAAGTATAACAGAGACCTGGGTAAGAGAAAGTTGTGATAAATGCTTTTGAAAGCTTTTTGGTGTGAGGAGAGGCAGAGTGCTAGTACTGCGTATGTGCCTTAAGGATAAGGAGTCAAAGGGGTACCTAGTAAACCAGTCAGCCTTCATTCCAGACCAAAAAATGAACTTGAATTTTTCCTGTCAAATTTTTAGAGGGCATTTACACTAAAATAGCTAGCAAACTGAGATAAAACTTAGGCTGAATTCTGTAACACGGCTATGAAACTGATTGGTTCACTATAAAAGCTATACTGGATGTCCAAATAAAAGAATCTACACTACCTGCAGATAAAATTCATCAGTTTATAAAATATCTCCCAAACAGAAAGACCCAGCTATAGACAAAGCACCTTCTAGAAGAATTAGTGGATAGAATATTATACATGCCTAAAGTGACCCCTGTGATTAAAACACCCTTTTCAGACAAGGCACCTTTTGTGGATAAACCTCCACCAATAAATAAATAGTTGGTCAGTAATGTTACTAATCATTCATTTAAATAGCTTATATAAATACAGATATCAGGATTCTATTTGTAAGAACATAAAAAATACTGAGGAAAATTTAACAAGATGGATAGCTAGCTACTACAGTGATAAAAGAAAATTTTCTAAATCAGTTAACTTGCTACTTTGTGATATGGATCCAACTTCTTTTAGCACGTTTGCCTCTGGTATCTAAAAATCTTGTTTAAAAGAGCCAAATGGTGGACCAAACAGTGAAGAATGTCAGTCATCATCACTATCTATCCTAATGCTGACTCATGAATTTTTGAAGAATGTGGCATCTTCTCTTTTATCTATACTTTTTTTGACAGTAGCCAGTGCTAAGGCAGAAACATCTGAGAAAATTCTGTTTTACCAAATTGAATTTCTTTTGATAAAGCTAGTCAGTAAGGTTATGACAGGTAATGCCAAAGAAAAAAATGTAATTATATAGAATTTCTACATTCCAATGATGATGAAGTTATTCAATTACTAATTTAGTCTATTTAGAATAAACTCTTATAAATTATTTGATCTCAGAGAGCATACAAAATCATGTACCTTACAGGTGCAGACCTTTTTCAGAAATAATAGTTGATGAGAAATGATTGGCAGTCCAGTTCAGAACAATTTTTGAGGAAAACTAATTCTACCAGTGTGCATCAGCTGACAGTGGTGCTGAAAGTATCCTTTCAGATGCCATCCGGACAAACCACTGATGCTCCCCAGCTTTAGACATTGCATGCTTTTAGGCTGCCTTTTAACATAAAAAATTTTACAGTAAAGTTTTTTTTTTTATCAAAGCTCTCATACATATTTTCAGAAGTTGATAAGGAAATAAGCAAATCTCTAGCAACTGAAATGCACTCTAATTTTAAGGCATTCTGGTTCCCATACTTCTCTAGTTAAAGATTTAATATATAAGAGTAATGCACTCTCTGATAGAGGGTTTTTTTTTTTTTAATGGTAAAGGAGATTACCAATTTTCTCCAACTAAGGAGAAAGAAGCATAAAGTTCAGAATTAGGTCTTGAAGTTATCAGAATTATGGAAACAGTGGTTTAAATTACTGATAAATTTAAGTTCCAGGGAAAATAACCTTAATCCAGAGAAGTTTGTTACATGTCATGTGTTAAATGAAACTTTGTGGATGTTAGATAACTTAGTGGGAAAGATGCTAAAAGTACCAAAGACTGAGTTGAAAAAAATACATATTACCTGACAAAATCTGTAGTAGCTTACGTTTCTAGAAGTAATAGTTTCAGAGCTGTTGATTCTGAAGAATACTTTTTAAATCTATACGGTATGGGAATGATTTCTCAGGTTGTTGATTCTGTTTCTGTTGTACTAAAACAGAGGCTGGCAACCTTTTTCCATAAAGAGCTACATAGTAAACAGTTCTATAAGGCATAATGGTCTCGGTCAAAACTATTCCACTGTGACTTTGTAGAACAAAAGCAACCACAGACAATACACGAACAAGTGAATGTGGCTGGGATTCAGTGAATATCTATGAAAAGTAAAATTTGAACTGATTTAACTTTTGTATAACAAAACGTTAATAAATGACAGACAAGGCGGTTTGCTAACTCATGTCCTAAAAAAAATTGGGGACCCACAAATCATGATATTAAAGGTACAGAATGTTTCTAAAAACAATGAATTTTACTAGTGAAGTTTAAATTTTATTATAAAAAATTAATACATAATGCTCACATGTTCATCTTTGTAGTGATTTGGTTATTGAATACATTGCCAAGAAGGCACATGAGCATTCTGCTAAAATACACCTTGCCTTAGAAAAAGAAAGTTAGAAAAAGAAAAGTAGATCAAGATTTAGCTTGAAGTTAAATTTCCAGTAAAAATTCTTTATTACCTTAGGAATAGCCAATCAAAATGGATCCATAGTAGTCACATTTGTGACTTAACATTAGTCTTGACTGCAGTAAAATAGAGTATGCAGCTAAGAGTTCCCACCCCACTACAGAAAACACTGATAAACAAGCAAAAATTGTCAAATCCAACTGTTCAGAACTCTGGAAAACAGTTAAAGGTTTTATAGTAACTAACTTAACTTTGAACCAAGAAAAAAGTAACTTTAAAATGACAGCAAAGATTCACGATGTTTTTCCTTGCTCTTCCCTGCACCCCTTACCCCCACCCCAACCTGCCCCAGCACAGTCTTAAAGAAAGAAACTTGCATTCTTTGTGCAAGTCCTTGGTCCCTGGTTCTAGAGGGCGCAGAGCAGACTTTATTGGAAAATTATTGTGTTTGCCTGTTACAGATGATCTGGGAGCTGCAAGAAATAGTGGTATTAGGCACTTGTCTGTTCATCTAACTAGGAACTCAGACCAAAAAAAGTGGTGGACTTTGCTTAAAAAA